TTATTTAACAACACAAAGTACATCAGCACGGATTCAGTAAAACTCGAAAAGACATAATCCTATAAAAATTATGTTGTCAACTATAATAATATATTCTTTAAAAATTCGTAAATGTTTCATTCACGGTATTCTGTTGTTTTTCTCAACATTTCTTCTCCAACATTTATTTCCCAACATTTTTTCAACAACATTTTTTCAACAACAATTATTCAACAACAATTATTCAACAACATTTATTCAACAACATTTGTTCAACAACATTTTCATCCAACCCAATCTCGAAACAGTGTGGTGGAAAGAACATTCGCTTCATAATAATGAACAACCTTCTGCCATCGACCGTGGTGATGCACAGCAAATTTGACCTGAAGGGCAGCACGTATAAGAGGAAGGCCAGCCAGCAGGAAGTCATGAAACCACACCCAACCTACAAAGATCTGAACTTCGAGGAGTTCTACCCGGATGGTCTGCTGCTCGACGCTGATACTTACAGTGCTCTGATCAAAACTATTGAAAGGGATTGTAGGGTGAGTTGTTGTTAAGTTCTTAGACCATTTTCAATATTTTTTAATATTTTTTTTGTAGAGTGAGTTATTATTAAGTTTTTAGATCATTTTCATTATTTTTTTCATCGTCATCGTCTTCTTCTTCGCCATTATCTTCTCATTCTTCTAGTTTTCATTTTTGTTGCAACTTTTTTTTACAATTTTCTTATTTAGAAAGAAAGTATAATGTTTTGTGGTTTTTTTGTTGCCTATGGTACTGCTGTCGATCGATTGTACAGATTGTACAGGATCACTTGTATAGTATTCGGTGTACATGGTAATTATATTCTACTTTCGTACTATTTATAGATGGTACGGTACTGTTTCAATTGTTTGTATTTGGTTTCTACTAAATGAATGAGTCATCATTTTTTTAATGATTTTTTAAAAATAAATAATTTGAAATGTGGTGCAAAGTGTCATGCAACTGATTCATGAATAATATTATATATATATATATATATAGCGTCGTAGATCGGGGGAACTGGGTCTCTGACGCGAAGATTGATTGATTGATAAATATATATAATATATATATCATGTATTATACATATGTATATATATACAACATGTATAGTATGATACAATGGGACAGTTATTTTTATAGAATAAAAAGAAATTCTGGGAAATAATTATAAGAAAATTACTGATAAAAGTAATGAGGTTGACAGTTGAGAAATAGTTGTAAAAGCAAGGGTAATTGAGCTGATGGTATTGAAGTTGTAATTGTAACGAACAAAAATACAGACAAACATACAAACAAACGAACAGACTAACGAACAAACAAACGAACAGACAAACGACCAAACAAACGAACAGACAAACGAACAAACAAACGACCAGACAAACAACTACCTCCATTTCCAATGAACAGGTGCTACAAAGCTTCAAGATCATGGATTACAGCATGCTCCTAGGACTGCACAACTCAACTATAGCCAACAGATCTGTTAAGTTTATTTTATTTTAATTTGTTTTTGTTTTTGAAACATTGGCAATAACCGAACTGTATAATGGAAATTATTTTTACGTTTTAACCTAACAGAACATGAAAAAATTGCGTAGATTTTATAAAAAAAAAGACACCTATATTTGTAGAATAAACTATAATAAGCAGGATTTAAAAACAGAGCGGTTTTTACCACACACATTTATTATATTTTATACATGGAATCATTGAATGTCAGATACAAATTATATATATATATATATATATATATATATATATATATATATATATATATATATATATGAATGACACAAATTTAAATTCTAAACGTTAAATGCAAGTACCATAGTTCGATTCTTTCATCTAAACATTCTCGATTAATAAAAGTAGAATATTAAATTATTTGTTATCACTGAGCAGAACAACAGATCAATACAGCAAGACAGTACTCCAACCAGTGTTAATGATGGTTAGTTAGTTGCTCTGTTTGCTGTTGTTGTACTAGTTAAATTCATTCTTAGGCGATCGATCGTGTTTTATCTGACGTGAACTTTTATGTTTAAACGAAAATATTCAAACATTCCAATTTAGTTGAAATGTTTCTAAATTGTTTTTCCTTCATCAAGAAATACTTTTTTCCAATGGTTTTGAAATTAAATTATTGCCAAGTTTAAAAATCAATGCATTTAAATGAAATTCCATATCTTCTTTACAGCCTTGCTGATCTTACAATTCAGAATTTTATTAAACTCATTTAAATAGTAGTAGTAGTAGTAGTAATAATAATAATAATAATAATAATAATCTCATTTCTGTGCGTAATTCAAAACCCATCTTGTTATCAATCTCACCGATCACACACAGATCACATAATATTGAACCGCAACACCAGATGGAGGATGGCTCAGTTCTCGACGGCCCTGGAAGCCATTCAGTCTAACGCCGATCCTATGAGTGTACTGCTACAAGAGGACCAAGATCTCTTGTTAGTGGGTGTGGGAATTTATGGTGCTGCTGTGTTATTGGCTGTGCTATTGGTATTCATGGTATTGTATGTCATTTATGGTGTTACGTGTTATTTCTCTCTCTCTCTCTTTCTCTCTCTCTCTCTCTCTCTCCTCTCTCTCTCTCTCCTCTCTCTCTCTATTTCTCTCTATCTATCTCAGCACACACACACACACATATACAGACACACACAGACACACAAATTAAACAGAGGCGGCATACCAGCTCATTCGAGTAACGGCGACAAGTTAATCCTGTACATGGGAATCATTGATATCCTACAGAGTTACAGGTTCAGTAAGAAGCTGGAGCACGCCTTCAAGTCCATGATTGCTGACGGAGTGAGTGGTGATTGTGATGAGGATTGGGATAGTAATTAGAATGGTGGTTATGATGGTGATTGAGATTTTACTGATAGGGATAATTATGATATTGGTGCTGAGGGTGACTAAAGATTGTCTCGACACTGCTGCCGGGTATAAAGATCAACTATTTCGCCTGTCGCAGCAACCTGGTTCGACTGCATAGAGATTCACGCCAATCACGTGATGTTTAGATTCTCACGTATCCACGTGGTCTGTTCTGTGTGAAAGTTAATAATAGTATCGAGGTCGAAATAGTTTCTGTTTTTAAATTTCAGGATACAATATCAGTGCACAGGCCAGGCTTCTACGCACAGAGGTTCCAATCATTCTTCGCCAATAAAATTTTCAAAAAGATACCAACACGTCAGTCTCATTCATTTCCACTTATTCTGAATGTTATTTTGTGCAGGGCATTCTTAGCTGCAAAATATGCGTGTGTGCGTGCGTGTGTGCGTGCGTGTGTGTGGTGTGGTGTATGTGCACGCGCGTGTGTGTAATAATTCATAATTATTTCATAATTTATTTTAATATTAAATATTATTTTCCACACTCCAGCCCTTAAACACACTCCCTCCAAGAAAAAGATTCCGACGCCAGCGGACCGGCAGAAATCCTTAACAGAAGGCGTAGGAGCTGGTGCCGATGTCACACTCCTTGAGGATAAAGCTGGTCTGTTAATATAATTATCATAATAATAATAATAATAATTATTATTATTTCATTATATTATTATCGTAATAATTATTACTATTATATTATACTTATATCTTAATTTATGTTTTGTTTATATAATTATAGCTATTTTTTCATAATTCCTTTTAATATTGTCACTCTCTTATTTATATATATATATTTCATTATCTTGAATCAATTTTTTTAATTTTATTGTAATATGACTCACATCAAGTGTGATTGTAATTCACATCAGATATGATTTTAATTCTAGTCTCAAGTTAGTTAATGTTATTGTAATGTAATCCACAACGGAGTTTTATTGTAATGTAACTGACACACGAATGCGATTACATTCAGTACTGACTGAAGCTGACATGATGTTTCCTCACAACTCCTCGCCTCTCCCTCCCTACTCAACCATCAACAAAAAAACATCTAGTCTCAAGTTAGTAATTTTGTTTTTCTCATCTATCTTATCTATTTGTCTGTCTGTCTATTTATCTATCTGTCTGTCTGTCTATCTATCTATCTATCTATCAATCTATCTATCTATCTATCTATCTATCTATCTATCTATCTATCTATCTATCTATCTATCTATCTATCTATCTATCTATCTATCTATCTATCTATCTATCTATCTATCTATCTATCTATCTATCTATCTATCTATCTATCTATCTATCTATCTATCTATCTATCTATCTATCTATCTATCTATCTATCTATCTATCTATCTATCTATCTATCTATCTATCTATCTATCTATCTATCTATCTATCTATCTATCTATCTATCTATCTATCTATCTATCTATCTATCTATCTATCTATCTATCTATCTATCTATCTATCTATCTATCTATCTATCTATCTATCTATCTATCTATCTATCTATCTATCTATCTATCTATCTATCTATCTATCTATCTATCTATCTATCTATCTATCTATCTATCTATCTATCTATCTATCTATCTATCTATCTATCTATCTATCTATCTATCTATCTATCTATCTATCTATCTATCTATCTATCAAATCTATCCTTAGTCTTTTTTAGGGGTATCGCTCAGCAACACAACACGCATTTAAATACTCTTGAATCAACGTATCACAGACATTATATTTTGTAGGCTGGCATCTCTCTTTACATTTGTCGCTGCAAGTGCAGCAACATTTCAACATATTTTTACCCTAAAGGCTGAAGAATAAACTTACGTCAGAGATCCGTACTGGGTGCTAGACGCACATACCGTAACCTTAACATAAGATTTCTTGTACCATTGTAATGAGGGTTTTATTTATATTATATGGTAAAAAAAATTTGGTTGTGATTATGGTAAGTTTTTAAAAACTATTACAAACCTGCCAGCCAGTACGGGTTTTTGACATTACCGAAGACGCTTTGCTGTAAAATAGCAGAGGTATCGACGACACGTTCTCGGAATGCTAGTGTAGT